ATGTGTTTGTCCGAATACCTGTCAAGTCCATAGCTCTCGAACAACATCCTTACCACCATTTGCTCCAATTCTGCTTGCATTCTCGCGTATGCATGGACCGTCTCACTGTTATCAATGTACACATATTTTTTTTTCCAAAACATATATATAGTTTCGATTCATATAAACTATATGCTAAGTGAGCAAGAATGGTCATAATATATATCTACATAATTACCAGAAACGGTCGTTTCCATGATCGGGCCACATGAGACCTGCAAACTTGCGGCATTGTTCGAAGTCCGTGACGAGATCGATCCCAAGGCCCTCGTGGACAGGCTGGTCGTCGGCGAGCATGGTGACGTAGCCATGACGGGCCTTGTGATTGCCGTTTTGGATTTTGACTTCGGAAGGGAGAGCGAGGAGTTCTTCGGCGGCCGATATGATCCCACGGTGGAGATCCACCGGGAAGTTGTCCCAATCGGCCACAAACCAGCCGTGCCGTTCCATGGCGTCTCGGACTCTCTCCCTCGTCCACCTCCAAATCTCAGTTCCCGGTTTCATGTTCTTGTCCGAGAAATTTATGATCGGATGTCCCCGAGTCTCGTTCGAACCCATCTCTGCTAGCCACCCCAACAAACTATTAGATATATGTAAGAATATGTAACAACGGATCATTGCGATTAAGGATATAAACTCACATGATTACAAGATGTTTCTTGATTTCTTGGCTTGTCTTGTCGGATGTTAGTTGACCCCCTTTGGCACTCTATGGTTACCATATATATATACACACACACACACATTGTCATCACCGGATGAGATGCATTCACACTGGGTCCGAATATGCTTTAACCGAGAAATGCCGTTTTGTATAACGACGAGTTCGCATGGATAGATGCTTTTTTGGCATCATGTATGATGTGACCCCATTTTTTTAAAAAGTCTCTAATTAAATTTATTACTTATCTCAGTCTTTTTGCGGTCTAATATATATATATATATATATTCGCCCAACAACGTTCACATAACATTAAAACAAAAAAAAAAACATAACATTATACCTGCATACATATATGATGTATTCCGCATTAAATATATATATATTATTGATGATATGGTAATTTAAAAAAGTATGTTGACATGGAAAATATGTCGTTGATGTGCTAGTGGCGAAGTGATGACTGTACATGCACAAAAATCATGTCACCAATACTTAACGGCAATTTAAATCCTCGTCTCTTTTGTATTGATTTTGAAAGGTATCCTGAAATTTAAATATTTTTCATTGAATTAAATTTTTTCATATATTTATATAGGTCCTGTTAAATTGAAGATTTTGAGCATTAGAAGTTGGGGAACGGGAACGGGCACATAGGCCAACAACGTTATTAAATACTCTAATTGAATGCAAGCTTGAATATCATCCAAAAATAATGAGACGAATTTACGTGAATGAAATCGATCAATATACATTCAATTATATATTTGAATGCAATCAGTTATATACTTGAGGATATCGGGCAAATGTGATATGCCTTTGAAAAGCATTCGCAATTATATATTGCATATTCCAATTTTTTTTTTTGTGATTGGACCACAATTGGGCCCACAAACATAACTGTATACCTAAAATGCCAAACCCAGACTATATAATATATTTCCGACCATAATTGAAAAAAAAAACACATATTAGGAGACGGTGGGCAAGAACATAATCCAAACTCTCAAATTGTCGGGCAACCTTAAATTATGGTACATGGTTCGGTCGGGAACATATTTACATGCATCTCGGAGATGATGGTTGAGGAATCACATATAGCTCATCTTGTATATGGCGCATTTCCCATGGTTTATGGATAAAATAGTAATGGACCGGATATCAGAATTTGATGAATTTACCAAAAACTATCATTGAAAATTTGAATTTTATATAAACTATATAAGTGCTTAAATATGCACATGGCCCATGTAAAAAATATATCGAATTTTAGTAATTTTGGAATAACCAACCGGCGTTGGATTCGGGGCATTATCCAAAATATCCTCATTTTCCTAAAACTACTTCTCCATATATTCTTCTCCAGTTGTGACCTTATGACCAGAATTTATGTATGGTCACATGATGATCATATTGGTCATAACGTTAAATTTATGGTGATTACATCAAATCACCATGGTCATACCTTACATATCTCACTAATCATTTGGTAAAATCATCAAAAATCTAACGTTGTGACCAATATGATCATCATGTGACTATACAATTATTCTGATCATAAGATCACAACTGGAGGAAGATATGTGTAGAAATAGTTTTAGCGAGGATATTTTAGATATTTTGGCCGTTGGATTAGGCTTCACCAAAGCTGAATGAATGAATACCCATGGCCCATGGGGAAGAAGGGGAGGAGAGAGACATTTCCCACGTTGTCTCTCTCCCCACTTTGACTTTTTGACCTTCCCTATATTAAATAGTTTTCGGTTGACAGCGAGTTGCTTCAGTTCATAAATCTCTTCATTTTGTAACGCCAGGCTCTAATTCAATGAATTTAATATCATTTTTGACATGTGAAAAATACGGTTATTTTAATTCATTTAAGATTCTAAATTATATATTATCACATAATGCCTCCTCAATTCTTTTACTGATACATATGACGGCAGAACGTGATATTCAATAATATTGGAATCTTCTATATAACCAACCAACTAAATAATTTTTTTTTCATTTGGCACGAACTAAATGATTTTTATGGCGGGGAAATATATTAATGAAACTTTCTCGCAATATTATATAAATATAAAATTT